CCCCAAAACCCCAAAACCCCAAAACCCCGACAATAGATTTTTGTTGAATATAGAAGCATCGAAGAATGGATATTAATAAATAAGATTAAGATTTAGAATTTAAAGAGGAAAGAGAGCATTCAAAGAAGGATAAAAAGAAGAAGAAGCATAAAAAGAAGCATCATCGTGAATCTAAGGAAGATAGACCCACTTTGGGAGATGACTTCATTGATCTAGAATTGGATAACTGAGATAGTAAAGAAAAACATAAAAAGGATAAAAAAGATAAAAAGAAGAAGAAAAAGAAAAATAAGAAGAGAGATTCTCATCACAGGAGTTCATCTTCATAACCTGACTTTATTGAGGAAGATAACCTTAAGATGAATGCAATGAATGAGTAAAAATAAATAAGCAAATAGTCCTAGTATCCAGTTGATTTAGCGAAATAATAAACTTAAGCTTAGTTATGTAACGCTTAAGAAGAAGCAAGAAGAAAAGCAGTGGCTCTAGCAGCCAAAAAGAGAAAGACCAAAAAAGGGGATGATGAAGACTGCTGAGATGATGAGACATACAGACCAGGAGGAGCTAAGAAAAAGAAGGTGAGTGGAGGAATTTTAGCCCCTGGATCAAAGGAAGTTAAGACCCCAATGTCAGAAGAATCCAAAAAACTAGAAAATAAAATTAATGAACTCGAAAAAAAGAGTAATTTAGTTGGATAAAACTCAACTGCCTAATAAAAAGAATCAGCTCTATAGAAAATAAATTAAGAAAAAAAAGATTAAGATTAATAAAAAAAGTAAGTTATTAGTTTGCTTTAAACATAAATCATTAGGATACCAATCGATAAGGAATAAGGTTTATCTTCAGCAATAGTAAGTTAAGCAAATCCTAACCCAGAAAAGAAAGGAGAAAAAAGTGAAAAGAAAAATAAGGATACTGATATGTTGGAGCCAAAGAGTAAGTATCATGAATTTTAACTATTTTTAGAGCCTGTATATGATGTTCATTTTTATAACAATATTATACCCTAAAATTGTGGAGTAAAAAAGAGGCTAATAAAGATTTATCAATCTTCAGGCAAAGCTAAAAGATGGGAGTCAAGATGGGTTCTTCACCCAAACAGTACTGGACAAACTCAAAAGCAGGACAAAGACTTATGGGTGAAAAAATGGGTGAGTGAAGGTCATCTAGATCCACTAATCGAGTTAAATTCAGATGGATTATCAAAAGATGAATTAAAGCTACTTAAAAGACTTCATCAAATTGAGGAATAAGATTATGCTGAGAATTTCTATGATTATCAATATCTAGATCTTAATGCTATTACTTACGAGTGTCCAGAAGAGGATTGTGAAAAAATCTTCTTTGATTTAAGTAAGATTTTTTGGCTTATAATGATATTTAATCTAAATTTATATAGAAATTTTGAAACGGCATATGCAGTTAAAGCATGGAGCATAGGAAAAACAATCAGATATCGGAATGTCAAGTTTCGCTAATCCAATGAAGAAAATGAACTATATAGCTGTTAATTGATATAAAATGATGAAATAAACCTTTTAATTTCCCTATTCATGTTAAATTAATCTAGCGGGGTTTTGGGGTTTTGGGGTTTTGGGG